TCTCTTAAATTTTGATTTTTGCAACAAAAAAATTAATTTTGTTCGAATACTTTGCAATAAAATTAAAAATGCCAAAACACGTGTCCAATATTATCAGATTTAGTATAATTAGCAATTTATAAAACTTTAATATCTATTATAGTTTTCGAGATATTGACCATCCCTGTCCTTGCATACCTGTGCCCAATTACAAAAAAAGTGGCAATACCAAACTGACCGTCCCAATAAATAATAGTAGCAAAAAAATTTTTTTGTTCTAGTTCATTTCCATTCTAAAGATATACACAAAAAACCTCGTTCATCAATTTTGTCATCGACTGTATGTGTGTGTGTTATGTTTATCTATAATTGATTTATTTAACTATTTATAATTTATAACACTTTTTTTTGTTATATATATTAAATAATAAATTTCATGTTTGAAAAAACATATTTAACTATTTTTTTTATATAAGACAAACTAATTAATTATAATCAAGTTTTATTATAATAAAAAATAATTAATTTTATTTAAATGATAGGAAAAATATGAACACATTTTATATGAATTGATTAATTGTTTTGTTATTTTCATAGAAAAATTTATTATAATAATAATTAAAAAAAATGTTTATTAAGTAATTAATTAATTAATTTAATATTGAAAAAATTTTTTTAATAGTAGATTATATACCTTTAAAGTTCAATAGTAAAAAAATAAAATATTTTATAGATTTATAAATTATTTCTAAATAAAATTTCATAAGAAATTTTTTAATATAGTAATAATATTAAAATTAATATTGCATTTAATAAGTATAGTAATAAAAATGATAATAATATATAATAATAATAAAAATACTTAAAATAATAAATAAATTTACATTAAGCAATTTATCATTTTAAAATTATGCTAGCTCAATATTGCATTGACGCATTTAGTGATGTCAAATTTATAAGTTATAAATCTATTGTTATTTTAATTAAGAAATTATTATTATTATTATTATTATAGATATACACTGATATGATCATGCACATTTTTTTTAAAAAAAAAACGTAAAATAAAATAAGTCTATCTTAGATTTCTACGTATAAACTATTTGTAATAAATTTTGTAAGAAAAAAAACTTAAAATGCGTTATTAAAACTAACTAATTGTTTCACAATAATAATAATAAAAAAAATAATAACTGATTATTCAAATAAAAATAAAAAATAAGTTATTGTGCAAATCATTTAGCTATATAATATTTTTTTAGCTATATTTTTAGAGATAATTTATTAATTTATTTACAAAATACTGTATTATAAATATTTTCTCAAATGATTAACTGTCTAACAGTTAATCACAATTTTTTGTTTAAATATTAAATTTCTATCTATTAATACAATTAGACAATTAATTATAAATAATGTGGAAAAAAATTATAAACATTTATAAAAAAATATTTAATATCATATGAATTTTTGTCTAATAAAATATTTTTAACTAAAATTATTGTAAATTTATTATATTATTATTAATGTAAACACAATAATTTAATATTAGACTTTATTTAAGATATTTTTATGAAAAAAAATTAATATAAATTAAAAATTTTATTTAAAAACATATTTAGTAAATTATATTAAATTAAAAAATTCATTTAATGTTTATTTATAATAATCATAATTATTATATATATATATGAACTTAAATATTAATTATGACGTTTAGCATTAGTTATGATTTATTAACACTTTTAATAAATTTACAAAAAAAGTTAATAATAATTATGTTATTTGATACCGGATTTAAAAATAAATAAATAATTTTTTTAAATAGTTTTTTTTATTGAACTCAATAGCAAAAATATATTTTTTAAAAATAATTTTTTATGTGTAATTAAATACTGTATTTATTACAACATTAACGGCTATTTGACATAAGTTTGATATATAAATATTGATATAATTATATACAGTATATGAGATATATTTATTTATTTATCTAAATTAAAATATAATAATTATTATTTTAAACTTTATATAACCGGATATACAGTTAAAAAAAATTTGATAAAAACTTAAAAATTATATTTCATAGGCGTCTATAAGTATTATTTTTATTAACAAATTATTTTAAACATAAACTAAAATATATATTACTTATTTCACAATAAAAAAAAATAAATAAAAAAAACTACTAATTTTAGTAATTTATTTTAAAACACATGTTTACAAATAAAAATTATGTTAATTACTTATTAAATTATTAATACATTAAACATTAATATTATTATTTTTTAAATTAATTATTGGTTAATTTGTGTTTTCAATTAAAAACTAAATATAGTTTACTTACATATATATACTTTATATTTTAAGATATAAATGTTATTATAATTAATTAATTATTTTATTATTATTATTAAATACCTTAAAAAAACAATTAAAGTAATTATAGTGTTGATTAAAATAATTTTTAATAAAAAATAATTTTTTTATAATTTTATTTATCATATTTTAGTCATTAATTATTATTGTTGTTGTTTTTTATTATCTATGAATTTTTAATTTGAAAAATAAATATTAATAAAAATATATTTAATAATATTAGTACTACTAATTTAGTAGTATTATAGTATTAATTATAATTCAATGCCAATGTTTGTATTAATGTATTATTATATTAATAAAAATTTATTAATAATTTTTAGTTAGCAAATTAAAATTGATTATATTTGTGTACTTATTAATTACTATTACTTTTTATATTAAAATATATAATTAATAATAATAATACAATAATAACAATATTTGAGGGTTTAATTTATTTTAATAAGTATTACTAAATAAAAACTTAATAAAACAATAAGAAAACTAAATTTAAATAAATAAATAATTATAAATTTATTAGTATTATTGAGAAATTTATTATAATAATAATTATATATATATATAAATTCTCATAAAATTTATTATAATATATTTTTGTTTTTCTTTTTTTTAATTATTAGTTTTAAATTAATTTATTATTATAAATAAATATGATTATAATTATCAGTTGTATTGAATTTTTTTATTAATATATATATATATATATATATTGATATCATTATCATTAATAATATCATTATTAATGTGACTCCCATTTAATTAGTTTTTCAAACTATTTATGCTAATTATTGTTTTTCACTTTATATATATATATATATATATATATATATATATATATATATATATATGCTAATAACAAAAATTATATTTTAATAATTATAATAAATTATTATAAAAGCAAACTATATAATTATGTTTTTAAAAAAAAAATATTTTATTTATATATGTAATATTAAATATTATTAAAAATTTATATATAAATATATTATTTGATAATTATTTTAGTTTAAATAAATTAATATTAAATATATAGTAGTTTAATTTTTAATAAAAAAAATAAAATAAAAATATAATGTATACATTAGTTAAAAGCAATCAATTATTTGAAAATTATTATTATTATAGTAAAATAATAATTATATAAAAAAATTTCAGTTTATTTTATTTTGAAACGCAATGTGAATATTAATAATATTAATAATAATAAAATTAATAATTTACAGTATTTTTTCAAACAAAAAATTATTATTATTATAATTATTTAAACAAATGTTTGAATAATTTGTCTAATAATATATAATGAGAAAACATTTTGTCTATAAAACATTGCATATATATATCATACAAAACTTATTAATTAATTTCTAAAATTTTATTAATTTCAATATATTTTAATATATATATATATAATATATATAATATAAATTTTATATATATATATATAATATATTTAATATAAATTTTATATATATATATATAATAAAATAAATAATAATATTAATATATTTTAGTATTATATATATATATGACTGATATATAGAGTTTAATAAATAGGTTTATAAAATATAGGTTTACCTACTAGTGCTTAAATACGGTTAAATAATAACTACTAGTTTTTAATTAGATAATACATTTACACACACACACATATATATATATATATACACCAGTATATTGATATAATTTTACCCCGGTAGTTTGTTGTTTTTAATAGGATCAGAGCAGCACTTGGATATTATTATAGAGAGACAGCTTAGGGATCGACGGTTCCGCCAGAGAGCTGTCGTTTCCCCAGTTTTTTAAGATACAGTTCCCTCAAAAAACCTTACAGTTCTCGTATATACAGCTCTCTCTCTCTCTCTCTCTCTCTCTCTCTCTCTCTCTCTCTCTCACTGCGCACAAGTAGTATACTTGTAGTAATAGTAGATCCTAACAGACTCTCTCAGCTCAGCTCAGGGATCACTCACTCATACACACACGCATTCAGAGTCGACCGACCAGTTAGTTAGTTCAAGTCAGTCGGTGTTAGTCTGTCGATGAGATAACACATACATACATAACAACTAATACAGTATTATTTGTATTAGTAATTTGTTTGAAAAAATTTCAGTCTAAAGTGTATATGTATTGGAAGTGTCAGTGTCTTTATCACTACACACACACACAACCTATCAGTTATACCTACCTGTGCTCACACATACTGTACATTCATTCATAACTAATCGTTTTGTTTTAACACTTTTTGTTTTAAACTGAAAGTAGTTTTAAACAAACAATTTGTTTTGTATACTGTATGTGAAAAAAATATATATCTATATAATACAAAATAGTGTGACTAAACTGTAGAGAGAGAGAGAGCGGGTAGAAAAAATACCTACCGTTCCCCCCCAACAACAAATTTTGTGTGCCACCGTGTTTTATATGTGTATAATAATAAAATACTACATTTAACATAATTTTTGATATATATATATATATATTGAAATATATATATATACCCGGATTACTTTAATAAATTATATATACATTATATATATATATATATATATAGTGTTGTGGTGTTTGAGATAGTTATATATTGTCTACATATATATAACTATTTTATTATTATTTTATTGGATATAACTATTCACTGATTGATATATATTTGGACTAAAAAACAAAGAAAAGTTATGTCAAAATGTTGACATCCAGTGCTAACCAATATCTTAGACCTGACTATCTATCGCCACTGCCATCCACTGTAAGTATAGATTTTTTTTTTAATTAATATATCTGTATATTAAATATATATTTTTTTCAAGACATACATTTGTATATTAAAAAACTAATTATTAAGTTATTTTTGTTTTGTTGTTGAAATATTTTCATTAATAAAAAATAAATTAAATAATACCTTAAATTATTAGACACTTATTGTTGTTGAATATTATAATATATATAAATATTAAAGTCATTAATATGTATAATATATAATATATTGCAATAATAAAATAAAATATTTATTATAATTATTATTAATTTATGACTTTTGTATTTTTATTTTATTAATATTATAATTTATGATTTTATTTACTTAATCTTATTTTTTTTAAGTTATGTAAATAATATAAATTATTAGTATTTAATATCGTATATATAAAAATTTTTTTTATTATATCAATAAAAATAAAATAAATAACAACAAAGTTATTCACATAATAATAATGAAATATTTTTTTTCCTAAACCGATAGATAATAATTGATTTGATAGGGTTATTGAGGTTTATATATATATAATATTATAGGTATAGATATCTAACATATGTATATGTATTTGAATGAAACAAATTATTATTATTATTATTAAAATATTCATAAATAAATAAAATAATTTTTTTTTTAAATTAAAATACTTGTCATATATGTTGAGTGAGTGTCTGTCTATGTGTGTGTAATTGAATGGATAGACAGCAACAAACAAAACAAAATAAAAAAAAATATTTTTGTGGCACATGTATGTTAAATATATATATATATATATTATATATGTGTGTACTGTTATGTCATTGATGTCTACGAGATAGCACATAGACTTTACATACATACTGTATATATATATTTTTGCTGAAAAATGTCAGATCCCTGTCCTATCTCTTTAGTAATAGTACTTTAACTATAGTTTAGGTGATGCCTGACAACTACATGTGCCAAATATTTTTTTGTTTAGTTTTAGTTTATTTTTTTCTGCTTTTAATATTTAAATTTACTAAATATCATGTCACATACACATACACATACACATACACATACACATACACATACACATACACATACACATACACATACACATACACATACACATACACATACACATACACATACACATACACATACACATACACATACACATACACATACACATACACATACACATACACATACACATACACATACACATACACATACACATACACATACACATACACATACACATACACATACACATACACATACACATACACATACACATACACATACACATACACATACACATACACATACACATACACATACACATACACATACACATACACATACACATACACATACACATACACATACACATACACATACACATACACATACACATACACATACATATTCACATATATACACAAATACATACACATAAAATCGGTATATTATATAAATTTAATACAATATATTTAGTATGAAAAGTAATTTATATGTTTTTTCTCTATTAGTAGTAGTAGTAGTAGTAGTAGTAGTAAAAAATTGTTTCAAAAAAAATTTGTGGAAATAATAATTTTTTTTCTCTGAATTAATTATCTCAATATATTTTATTTTAATTTTGTTTTTTTTGAATTACTGTTTTTGTCTACACAGCAAAAAAAATGTGATATTTTATTTATGACCAAACATTGAGAATTAATTTTTATTTTCAAAAAAATATATTATTATTATTATTATTAAATCATATTAACTATAAATTTATTTCCTAATTATAGTTATTGAATTATTTTAATAAATATTACTTTCAAAAAAAATGTTGACTAAAATATTTGTGTTGAAATATTTTGTTTTTTTTTTGTTGATATATTGTTATATTTTTTTTATTAATAGTTAATTTAGTTTGTATTGTAATTTTTATACAAAAAAATTATTATTATTATTATTAATGTTACTATTTCATCAATTATAATTTTGTTTGAAAATATGTTTGTATTATATATATATAATTATATATATATAAATTTAAACTTTTTTTGTAGTTTTAAAAATTATTATTTTTACAATTTGTTAGATACATATTGAATTCACAATCAAATTTGAGTGACAATTGAATTGAAAGTTTTTTTTATAAACAATATATATATATAGTATTTCACATATATTACTATTATTTATAAATAGATATTTTGGGGAAAAATTTTTTTGATAATAAAAACCTTTTGATATAAACAGCATATAAAATTGTAATACAAAAAAATAAATAATTTATATGTATAAATATATATATATATTATTTTTATTTCAAACAAACATAAATACATCAAAAAAATAATAATTATATAAATAATAGTAACAAATATGTTTTAAAAAAAATAAATTATATAATACAATAGTAATACTGTATATATAAAACACACACATTTTGTTTGCAATTATGTCCCCATAATTTATATTATAATAATAAAGTTAAAAGTAATTTATTTTATTTTATTTTAGTTTTTAGTTATTATTATTTTTTGTGCGCTTTTGTTATGTGTTTATTGTGTTTATAACTCTTTGACAACAAAACAAAAAATTTATGCGTATTTCACAACTGTTTCACTAAAAAATTTTTGTTTTTTTTATTATATTATTTATTATATATATATATACAGTATATATATATATATATATATTATATTTTAAACAACAAAAACAACGATAATTTGTCTTTTCAAACACTTTTTTTTCGGTGATAATAATAATAATAATAATAATAATAACAATTATAATGATAAATGTGTTTCCTTTTTATATCAAATATATAACAACAAAATTATTTTTTAACTGACAAAAAAACTTATAAATTATTTATATATATATATAATTTATAATATTGCAAAATACAGTACAAATAGACAATAGACAGCTAACTATTTATATATATATATATAAATTTATTGATATATCTATCAATTTTAATGATATTCAATAAATTTTTTATAAATTTCTATCATATATATTACTAAAATGCTTAATTTATACAAATAAATAAATAACTATTACTAAATATGTCTAGACATTAATAATTACTAAATAATAATAAAAAAATTTGAAATTTTTTATATTAAGGTATTATTATAAAAATTTCTACTATTAGATACAATTTATAATTAAATTATAAAATTTCAAAATATTGTTTTTTAAATATATTTATATATATATAATATAATTTTAATAATACTGTAGTAACAGATATATTATTTTAAATTATATATTAATCAAAAAAAAAATTATAATAATATATAAATATTAAGTATAAATACAGTATATATTATTTCATGTATTTTTTGCAAACATATATTTACTTTTTATATTCATTTCAATATATATWTATAAAGTATATTATTATTAAAGTAATTTTGTTATCAAATATATGAATACAGTATTCATAATACATATAGATTTCAATATATATATTATATAACATATTGCATATAAAATGATTTATATRTAATAAATCATTTCAATTCAATACATATGTCTAATTTGTATGACAGATACATATATATATATATATATATATATATATATATATATATATATATTGTTATACAATTTTAACATAATGATAATGATTGCATGCATTTATACATTTATTAAAATTATTTATAATATATTTATATATATATATATTATGAATGGCTTATCAAATTGCCAACACAGCAACAAAAACAACAACAAAAAAACAATAATACAATACTAATGATAAAATAAGTGATAATAAATGATACCAACAATAACAGCAAAAAACACAATAAATTATATATAAAAAAATAATTTTTTTGTGACAACAACAACAAAAATTATATATAATTTTTTATTTAATGTTAATAGTTATTAACAGTCAGTAAATAATGTATTAGTAAAATAACACACAATTTTGTTGTTGTTGTTGTTGTTGTATATTATAGTATAATAATAATTATTATTATTTAGATATTATTTAATGATTTAATTCAAATATGAAAGTTATTATGCAATTTATTTATTATTATTATTATTTTTTGTGTTTAGAGGGGAAAATTATATTCAATTAAATTTCTATAATAACAACTAATATATAATATAAATATTAAAAAAAAGTTTATTATATTATTTTAAATCCAATTAAATGGGAATTTATTATTAATTTTTATTTTGTTTGATTGTTTTGATAATTTGAGGTTTCAGTTAAAGTGTTATTAAATCATATTAAATAATAATAATAATAATACTGTAATATATTTAATAATAATTACTGATTAATACTGATTTCAATTTAGTTAATAATTTTATTTCATTTATTTTATTTATTTATTATTATTATTATTATTATTATTATAACTTTCCTTATTGATAAATAATAATTTTTTATTGCAAATTTTTTTTTTAAAAATATTAATTATACACTTATAATATACAGGGAAAACAAGTCTATAAACACATTATCTATATATCATATTTCCAAAGGAAATAACTAATAAAATAGTATTATTTTTTTGAAATAATTTATTTAATTTATTTTTTAAAAAAATATTATTAATCATTAATCCTTTATATTTATTTTATATAATCATTATATAGTTATAATCAATTTAATTAGCATAAATACATTATATTTTTTTTATAATTTAACAAAACAAAACAAAATTATTATTATTATTATTAATTGTCTGTCAAAATAAAACAAAAAATAAAATTATTATTGTTATTAAATATAATTATTTATATCACGCTAATTGTCACAAATAAAATAAATAACTTAATTATTTCAACTAATATTTTAAACAAAAAAAAACTTAAAATATTAATTGAAAACAAATATACAGTATATATATATGTTATATATAATATATGTCTGAAAAAATTGTTATTAATTTTATTTTGTTAAACAATTTTTATTGTAGTTGTTGTTATTGTTGTGTATTTTGTTGTCAAAATTCACAACACATTTATAACTATCATATTATATATATATATATATATACTTATATATGATATAAAATTTATAGTATTTAACAGTAATATATCACTGTCTCCGACGACAAAATGTGTCTTAAAATAAAATAAAAAATATACAAAAGTAATGAAAAATTATATATAAATATATAATATACTGTATAAAAGTTAAAGTTATAATAAAATATTTTTTTTTTAAAAATAAAAGAAAAAAATATTGTCAATAAATTTTGTCAAATAATAAATTATAAACTTTATATATATATATACTGTATATATATGGCTATAAATTAAAATAATTTATTACTTAACAAAATAATTTATTATATATATATATATTGTTGTTGTTGAGGAGGGGTGGGTGCACTGTTAGATTCAATAAGGTATTTGTATTATTATTATTATTATTATAACATTATTATAATTTATTATTATTATTATTGTATATATTTTTCAAAAATTGGATTAAAAAGCCATAATAATAACCATTAAAGTGAATTAAAATTATTATTATTTTATTTTTAATATTATTTATTGTAAATACAAAAAAAAAAGTTTATTTTTCTTATAATAAATGCTATAAATAATTTATTACACAATTATTTTCATCTTATACTACTATATAAAGTTTTTTTTTATATTATTTTATTTATAACTATAAAACTATTAAAATAATATATATATATATATATTTGTCTATTATTTATTTCATATTATTATAATTGTTATTACTGTTAATAACAATAACTATAATAATAATAATAATGTTTTTTTTATATATAAAAAATTATTATTATCAAAAAATAAAATATGTTTAATAGTATTATTATTATTTTGTTAAATTTACCACAAAATAATTATAGCATTATTATTGTTGATCTAATTAATTTATTAGTATAATTATAGATAATTTTTATTATATTTAGTTAGTTATTATTATCTCACTATTAAACAATTAAAAACACATTATATTAGGTGCAGATATTTTAAATTGACTTTATATATATATATATATATACTGTATATATATAGAAATTTTAAATCTATATTATGGGTATTTATTACATTTAAAATTACTTATTATTATTGTTATTATCTATATTTATAATTTACAACTAATAACACTATAATAAGCTATAATGTAATGATAAATATATAGATAAATATATATATAAGTTTATAATAAAATTTTAAAAAACTATAATTTTTTTTCTCTCTCTCTCTCTCTCTCTTTCTCTCTAATATATAATAATAATATACTTTACTTAAAATATATATATACTATACTTAACATAATTGTCAAATTAGTTGTCACAAAAAAACCTATTAGTTTTTAAAAGTCGTTAACCAATATATAAATGTGAATAATTTGAACACAATTTACTTTAAATAATAATAATAATATGTTTGAATTTATTATTATTATTTTGTTATTGTTAGTATTATAATGATATTTTTTTTAACTATATATATATATAATATGCTGTATATATTAAATTACTAATGCAAAACACATTTATCACAATCAATAATATATATATATTTATATGTTTATTATAGGTAATAAATATACACAATATATACACATAAAATTGTAAATAAATTGTTTTGTATTTTATATTTCAAAAAAAAATAATAAAACTACTAATAAAAAAAAACTTTATTTTTTTTAACAAAAATAAATTTACAATTCAAATATATATATGACAACTAAATATAATTACAATACAATCAACAACAACAACGATATGACAGTGCAAACAAAATTTATGGCATTTTTTTTGTTGCTATTTTGTTTGAAAAATTAGTTATTTTTTGTGTGTATTTTATTTTCTCACTTTTGACGAAATGAAAAAAAACTAATTATACATACAGTATGTACTGTATATATATATATTATATTAAAAGCTAATGTGTTTGACAACAATTTTTTGTTGTTAAAGTTATGACATGACAATAGCCCGGAGTGTTTTATGAGACACCGGGAGGTTTCGCACAGACAGATAGATAGATATACAGTTTGGATAGGTGTCTAACATAATGTTGTTTATTACCCCATAATTTATTTATATATTTTATTATTATTATAATTATTATTGCTTATGTAATTTGTTTTTTTTAAATGATTATCTCTATTCAACAATAATAATAATAATGATTATAATTTGCACCAAATAATTATATTTAACATTCACAACAACAACCAAAAAAAAAAAATAAATAAATTATAAACTAAAATAAAATTTAAATATTTAATAATACAAAATAAAAATTATGCCTTAAAAATGTGTTAATAATTATGTACCACAAAAACAGCTCATATATATATATATGATAGATAGCACCCATAGAAAAATGTGTAATTTATTTATTATATTTTTTTTTGTTTAATATATTTGTTTCATAACAAAAAAAAATGCTAATTAAAGTGGTATATTGTGAAATAATTGTTGACTATTTTAAATATTATAAATTATAATATATATTATATACACTGTATATTATAGTATAAATAATAATAAAAATAATTTAAAAAAAATTTATTAAAAATAATTTTGTGATTTCACACACAATATATATTGAAACTATTTTTTACTTATACAACAACAATATTTTATATATATATATATATATATGAATCTTATTTTAATATACAAAAAAAAAATATTTAATACATTTCCTATTAAAAAATACTAACTTTTTATTTTATTTTTTGTTTCATTTGGACAGTTGGACACAAATAAAAGTCCATTGGTTTTGTTGGCTAAGACCTGTTCCAGTATAGGACAGGACTCACCAAACAATAAACTGTTGATATTGTCGGACACAAAAAAATCCGATCACAATAATCACGGCTCCGGTGGTAGCAGTGGTAGCGGTAGTAGTGGTTGTAGTGACCGGAAAAAAAGTAACGGCAGTGGCGGTGGCGGCGGCAGCGGGTCGTCCACCWCATCGTCGGTACACAGTTTAGTCAATGGCCTGAACACCGATGACAACAATAGCAACAATAGTCTAAGCAATCATACCATTAATGCATCGACGATGACAACGACGGCGCGGACACCGACACCGTCGGGAATGTCGTCGTCGTCGGCGTCATTATCGGCGGCTAAGTTGTCGTTCAAACCATACGATATCTCATCAAACAATAGCAACAACAGTAACAACAAGAAGACAACAAATAATAATAATTATTTGATTAATAGTGACTATAATAATATCAATGATCTAATGATCGGCGGCGGCGGCGGCGGTGGAAAACGGACACCCAATTCATATATGAAAGTGTCTGGGTCACCGAAAAGTGTGGGCAGTAATCACTCCCGAAGCTCACCGTTGAACAACAAACAACAACAGCGGCACCGGTAGCGGTAAAAATACGCCGTTAAACAACAACAACAATAACCATATGGATGGTGGCCATCATCACAARAACGGTGGCCATCATATGCAACACAAACAACATGAGTCACATTCGCCGAAAAGTACGTCGTCGTCAACGAACGGTACGCCAAACGGCGGTACCAAACGTCGGACGCCGACACCGACATCAAGTGCTCTGAGCTATACGTCAATAGGTATGCCTGACATGCGTTTAGACGGTATCGGCAAACATAAGGAACCGTTGCAATCGTTACAACAAATGTATAAAACAAATCCSTATTCAAGCAGTAATTGCTGTCCGCCGTCGATAAACGGTTTGCCGCCGCCGTTGACAGTGGACAAGACGGGAGCCTATCCGTCAATCTATCCGCCGCTCAGTGTCTACGGCCGCATGAAAGTGGCCAACAGTGTCGGCGGAGGCCAGCCAATGATGCCCATGTGTAGCGATCCGTACTGTACGGGCACCTGTCAGCTGTCGGCCCTGCAAAATGCTGCCCTATTGGCTTCGGCTGCCGCCGCAGCGGCCAACACGTGTTCGCCGGCCACGTGTCCGAACGGATGCAATCAATGCGATCATCAGCGGCTGATGTCGTCGCTGGCCTATCCGAAACTGAATCCGGCACTACTGCCCAGTCTGAGTCAAATGTATCCGAGTCTATACCATCCGGGACTGGCCGCTGTTGCAGCCGCTCAACAACAACAACAACAACACCATCACCACCACCAACAGCAACAGCAACAACAGCAGCAACAACACCAACACCACCACCAAAGCAATACAAATGTCTGCAATTGGATAGCCGGTGACCAGCACTGCGGCAAACGATTTCAGACATCCGAGGAACTACTGAATCATTTGCGGACACATACGTCGGCTTCAACCGGAAGTGTCGACTCGTCGTCGTCGTCGGCCATCACAACTGTGCCATCGATGATACCTAGTCTTGGACTGTCGTCGTCGGCGTCGTCGCTCAGCTCCAGTCTCGCTCAACATATGCACTATTCGACTGCCGGCGCACTACAGGTACCGACGCCGACATCGTTGACCTCAGCCGCCGGCGGTGGTCTGCGGCGTACATATCCGACTAGTTTGTCGCCACTGAGCAGCCGATTTCATCCGTACAAACCGACAGTGATTCACGGTTTGGGTTCAATGCCTTCCATAGCCGCTGGCGTTCCCCAGTTGGGCGGCGGCGTCGGCGGCGGTAATCCACTGCAACATTCGTCGGCGTCAGCGGCGGCCGCACTGAGTATGTATTACCCGTACGGACTGTATTCCGGACGAATCGGTCCACCTGTTCATCCCTAAGCTCTAGAGAGAGAGAGAGAAAGGGATATACAGTATATCAGGGATATATAGGGTATAATAGATGGATAGATAGATAGATAGATAGGGACTGACTATCTATTGTATGTATGTATTGTAAGCTAAAATAAATTTATATATATATATCTATATATTATATTATAAATCCTTATTAATGCTGTATTTTTTGTTTGTTTGATTTTTTTTGTTTGATTAAAATTATAATAATAATAATAATTTATATTACGAAATACAGTATATAAATATATATATATATATATATATATATATATATATGATATGTAATGAATGTATTTATTTTATGAATTCAAAACTATTAATATTATTATTATTACTGACTTATTATAATAATTATAATTTACTTTATTATTGCGAAATTTTTTTTTGTTGTTGAAAAAACTAATAATAATAATAATTTTGAATTCATTTATTTTCTATCGTTTCGTATGACAAATAAAACTAATATAAAAAATAAATATTTAAATTTAAATTAAATAATAATAATAATAAAAAAATGATTTTAAATAATAATAATATTATTATTATTATGACTTTAAATAATAATAATAATACAGTAATAACTCATATCTATCTTTAAGTATATCGGCTATCATTTGTCAATAAATTATTGTAAATATAAAATTATTATTATTATTATTGAATTTTATTAATTATTATAATTAACTTTATTATAACAACATATAGTATATATATATATGAGAAAATAATTAATTAAAAATAAATTACATTATTATAATTTACAGATAATAAGTTAATAACTTTATTTATTTTTTGTAATATTATTATTAATATTATAAATTTATAAATAATTATAATAACTGATAATTTTAATTATGTTTTTTTTAAAAAAATAAACAAACAATATTGTAAATTTCAAATATTATGTTATTATGAATTTTTTTAATAAATGCAATTATAATATTAAATTATAATTAATGTTTGAAAATGAAAAAAAATTGTTAACAAAAAAATTGTAATTTATTATTATTTTTCGTGTTATTATTATATAAATATATCAAAAAAAATAAATATTTTAAATTTAATTTGATTAATAATTTAAATTAAAAAATAATAATAATAAATAAATAAATAAAGAAAAGTTTGAATTAAATAATTTTGTGTAGAAATTATTATTTTATAAAAATTTTCGTTTAAAGTATTTTAAAGTTTTTTAATATAAATAAAAAATAAATAAATATTTTCATTACTAAATATTTAGGTTAAACTACTGGTTAACAAAAAAAATCATGTGTCATATAAACAAAACAATAAATAATAATAAATTTAAAAGAAAATATTTATAAATTAATTTAATATCAAATATATTCTCAATAACTAATAGATAAAACAAAATATGTATATATCATACCATATATTATTAATAATTATCATTATTTCTAATATTATTAATGACGTCTAAAAAATTTTGAATTAATATTTCTAAATAATATAAATATATATATATATTATTAGTAATTTAAATAAATATTATTACAACAAATAAGCCATAATAATAATAATTGTTGCTAAATAATTGAATAACGTATTTAAAACACAATTAATAATAACATACATATAAAATATATTAGATTTTAATGGTAATTAAAAAAAATATTTTATTTTTATTTTTGTTATAACTTAACATAAAATTTATTGACATAGAGTATCAATGCGCTCTATCATCATTGACGTACATATAAAATTAAAATTTATATATAAATATATATTATATATATATATATATATATATATATATATTTAAATAACATATACCTATATAATACAATATTATTTATTACCTTATTATTAAAAAATAATATAAAAGACAAATATTTTAAATATATATATATATGACGGTAACTAACTATTGACACTATATTAAAATTATGTATTACTGTATCTATACTGTATGTATAATGTTATATATATATATATATATATATATATATATATATATTTACTTGAAAATAAYATTTAATTTTATTAATCTATTTTTTATTAACAAACAAATAATGATTTTTTTTTAGTACAGAATATTCTGTGTGTATGTGTTTTAATATTTTAAAGACAATTGTTGTTTAAACACTTACTATATATATATATATATATAGATTCAAATTAATTAAATAAATTCATATGAAATAAACTATAAATATATGTGTTAGTAAAAAACATTTACAAAACTATGGCATCTATAGGACATATTAATTGTAAAAGTAAGGCACCGGTATGTATAGTACTATTATTTATCACTCACTATCAAAAACAATACCGTTTTTTATGTAATAGTAATTATAATAATTTCATTGTATAATATAATGCAATTTTTTATATACAATATAAATGAAGTATTTGTATTCAAATTATATATATATATATACAGATATATATGATATGATAAAACTATGTACTAAAGGGTATATATATATACTAGAAATTAATAGTATTTTTTTTTATTTGTGAACACTTTTGCTGATTTATATAGTGTTAAAATAAGTTATACAATGGGATACACTGTGTGTGTGTGTGTGTGTGTGTGTGTGTGTGTGTGTGTGTGTGTCTTAATTATTGCCAAATTGTGTCTTATATTATATACTGTACAGTAATGTATAATATGTTGCAAAATGTGTTGCTATTTATGTGTGAGTTTGTATGTGTTTTATGACACACATATGTCTGTCAATGTATTTGATTGTATGTATGTACTGTATTGTATATGTCAAGTGCCTCTATCATCCCTATCCCCCCTCTCCACTATTTTTTGTTGAAGTAAATTACTTAAATAAAACCACACACAAAAAAAATCAATTGTTTATTGTTTGTCAAACTATATACAATAAAAAGATATCTTTGTTTATTATTTAAAAAAAAAACATTATATATCAATATGTATAACATATAAACAGTGCGATTGTTAGAGAGAGAGAGAGAGAGAGAGAGAGAGAGAGAGAGAKAACTAAGCAATTGTTGAATTGTTATGTTTTTTAATAATACAATACAAAACACTGTTTAATGTGTTGTAATTTTTTTTACTTATTTTTTTGTTGATATGATTTATACTAATATTATACACATTTATATATATATATACTGTACACTATATATCCCTATCATGTTTTGCAATAATAATAATAATAATAATTGCAACAAAAATTGTAATAAAATAATAAAACATTTGTATACTGTATATAAAAAAATTATTTATATATAAATATATTACTGAATATACTTTATATGTGTTATAGAGATATGGGATGCACTCGTATAATAATACAGACACTACTGGATATATATATATATATATATATTAAAAGTGATGGTTATATTTCCTGCACTTCAAGCACAGGCATACAGTGTGTGTGTGTATGTCATGTGAAAGAGAGAGAGAGAGAGAGAGAGAGAGAGAGAGAGAGAGAGAGAGAGAGAGAGAGAGAGAGAGAGAGAGTTGTGAAAGGGATATCAACTTTCTTTGTTGTCCTCCTTTTCCTTATAGATATTTATAACTACTAAATGACATCCATTTCCCATATGATATGACACAACAACAACAACAACAACACACAAAATCTACTACTGTTTCACACARTATATAAGCGTAATATAATTTTTTATTTTAAAAAATAAACTACAATTATTGTTATAAGTTATTAAAAAAAAAATAATAGTTTTTAAATAATTATAACAAATAATGAAATGAATGATTGAATATTTTTGAACACAAAAAAAAATTGATTAAATTATAATTTATAGAAATTTTTGCATAAAAATCATTATTATTAATATTTTACAAAAAAAAAAATATTAATATAATAGCAATAGTTTCTCGTTTTTTCTAAAATAATAATATCTATTAAGTCATGTTATTAGAGTGAAAATTGTAATATTTTTTTTAAAAAAAATAATAAAAATAATGAACAATTTAATAATGTTTGTTAATAATTCAATTACAATTAAAATTTTAATATTACATTATTATTGATATTTTATTATTACAAAAAAATAAATAAAACTAAATAAAAACTTAATTAATATAGTATTTCAAAAAGTTTCAAAACTTTTGATTATTAACAACAAAAACAAAATAAAAATTGTAAATTTAATTTAGCAATTAATTACTATATTTTTTTTCTATTGCTATCTATATATTGTTTGAAAACAATAGTATTACTACAGGTAATAGTTTTTACCTCAAAAAAATAAAATAAAAAATAAATAAATACTAAACTCATTGATGGAGTTTCCCAATAATATACTGTATATACAGTATATACTGTATATGAGTTCTCATTATTTTATTTAACAAAAAAACTAAAATAAAAAACTAATGACTATATGGTGTGTGTGTCTGTGACTGAGTGATGGTGTGATTAATGGCTGACCAAATTAGTGGGTGAGTGAGTGAGTGAGTGAGTGAGTGAGTGAGTATGTATGAGATTATTAAAAAGTGAGATATTTTTTTGTTTGTTGGTATTATTATATATATATATTGAATAATGAGTGTATACTGTAGTTCATGTGTAGGAAAAAACCATTTGCGAGGAAGTGATTGTATTGTCATTAATCTTATGGTTTCTCAGTCTCTCTCTCTCTCTCTCTCTCTCTGTGTTTCTCTCTCTCTCTCTCTCTCTCTGTGTTTCTCTCTCTCACATTCTCTCTCTCTCTCTCTCTCTCTCTCTGTGTTTCTCTCTCTCACATTCAATCAAAACTTAAGGACTGTTGTGTGTGTGTGTGTGTGTCTGTCTGTCAATGAGGCGGTTATACTATATATATATATATATATATATATAGTGTATATATGTCTTGACATTTAATGATGCGATAAGTGCTAACAAACATCAGACAAACAGCAAAAAAATATAATAATAATAATAATCTAAACCAATATAACGCTTGTCTATGTGTTTGTTGCTAATGATAGTTAAGTGCCAATTGTGTGACACATCCTATATATATATTGATGACAGATAGGGACAGACAGTCAGTCAGTCAATCAAATGACAGATATTTTACCCACACTTTTTTAAAAATAATATATAATTTCATATG